ATTTTCTTAATTAAAATTCTTTTGTGTAAAATGGAGGCAGGAAAAAAAAATTATTACTTTTTCGACCTAATAACCTTTCATTTAAGAAAAAATAAAGTGCAAACAAAGCAGAACAACGAAAAATAATGCATAGTAAAAAATTGTTTTATTTTGCAAATGAATTGACCATAAGGTAAATGACAGTCAATGACCGCGCGTCATCTTATATTTTATAAGAATGACACAGGAAAAAAAAAAAACAATAAACATGTGTGAGCATAAATGATCCGTGGAAGCATGCATATAAGTGTAAATTATTATTTGTGTGCATATTTATGTGTTCCTGGTGTAATTATAAGAAAAGTTATGTGAAAAATACACCGTTTTTCTGACTGTCTTTTTATAACACATATTTTTAACATAAGATTGTATGTCTGTACATATTATGTGTTTATGAATTTTCATATAAAAATGCATACTCACAAACCATTTATATCAGAAGTTCTTAAAAGTTGTATGATTCTATAAAAATTTTCCGTTGAAAATATTTAATCTTCTATATTTGTTTATAAAAACAACAAAATGTAGCAATTTTTGTGTGTCACTTGTGCGCTTCTACACTAATAAATTAACCCGATCACTATGAAGCTTTGGTAAGTTTTTTTTTTGAAAACTCCCGCGAATGTTTTGAGTAACGTATTGAGTATTGTTAGAAAGAATTAAAGTTTTTTGGAAATTACCCCTGTGAGGCCCCATTCCTCTAAAACGAATTCAAAAGAAAACGTTTTATATTAAAGTTCTAGGTTCAGTTTTCGTTGCGATTATTGTCATGAGTGTATGGGTTAGATTTGGGAAATCTGTGCTTCTCACATAGGCAAATATTTATATGTGACCACGTCAGAAAACCTTTTAATTTACTCATGTACGCACCAGAGAGAAAAACAAAAAATATCGTAAATCTGAAAGAAATAGAACAGTTAAATGAAAAATAAAATATCTTTTCCTTACTTCTAAGATCACAGCCATACACCATGGGCTCGCTAATAAATAATTAAAATATATACAGAGTCAAGTTTATTTCGTAACAAGCCGCGTGATTGTGACTGTTCCCAACGAAATCGCCATGCAACAATTACAATTGATTCGACTCTATTATTCCAAGAGTTGGCTGTTGAATCTGAAAATTATTTTTACTTTTTCGCGTTTTATACAAACGCCAGTTATATATTGACACAGAAATTTTATACTGCTGGGCAGTTCAATTTTGAAATGTCAAAACTGCAATACGGTAGACTTTATTCGTTGTGCTGGATATTGATAAGGTGTTTTCTTAAAAACAAACAAAATTTATCACCTCTCATGTTTGTTTCGATCACTAATTTTTTAGCAAACCCATTTTGTAGTAGTCACAGTACTAAAGTTTAGAAATCCTGGAAGTAAAAATGATTAAAGTAGATATCTAAATTTTGCTATTGCTATTATTAAGATATTTTCATTTTCTTTCTCATAGAAATTTAAAAATAATTTATTAAAATATAGGAATGAACTATTGTTCAACGAAAGTTTTCATTCATAAAAACAATCACATATACTTGTATTAATTTCTACGTGTAAATATGTTTTGTACATATGCACACATAATAATTAGAGGTACATGCATAAGTGTATGTAGTTAATTTTGATTTTCCAGTTTAATTTCTATTTTCAATTATTAAAAATAAGTAGCATAAATTTTTAGTATACTTTGAGTTTTAGTATACTGTAGTTAAATTTTAATTGCTTAAACCTGTCAATTATACTCGTGTATATACTTTTATATTTATTTTAATATTATGTGTTGTTGATGGCGATGGTAGCACGTTTCACGTAAAATGCCAATGCAGATGCATTCACTAATGATTTTTATATTAATTTAAAAAAAAAATTTAATATGGTATTAAATTATCTGGATTGATGATTTCACAGTATAAATTTATTAAATATGGAAGCAATTTATTTTTTGTTTTTCTTATACATATTTCACTCTGACAGATCTAAGATTAAGTAATAATGTAAATAATTTATAGAATTAGGTGCACTTATATTTTAGTTTTAATCATAAATTAATATTAAATGCGAAAAGGAAAAAATCATTACGGAAATGTTAATGCAATAATAACTTGTTTTTAATGGTTTCTGATTACATATTCGAATTTAATTTATATAAGTTGAATTTTATATTCTGTAGATCTTATGGGACTTAACTTGTATATATACATATAATTTTCGTTTGAAAACTGAGGTCGCAAGTCAAAATATTATTAAAATAATTTACAATATTATTATTTATATTTTTCATTTATTACAAAATTTTTCAACTTTTTCTACAATTGGACTATAATTTAAAATTTTTTTTCCCACTGGGATCAAACTGAACAAGGTATATTTCGGGGAGATATTACATAATTTTTTTTATTTTCTAATTTTGACTTCATATAAGCCAAAGAATTAAAAAATTTGTCATATTATCGTGTATAAGGTAAATTTTAAAAAATATTAAATATATTTTAATTATGCCTTAACATAAATAACAGGGTTCAACAACTAAGTTTTGTATAACAGTATTTTTGTGATTGTATTCCGCTGCGTTGACTCGGTTTTACAAAACTACAAATTTACAATAGCAAATTTTGTTAAAATAGGACCAATTTAATAGAAAGATATTAAGTGTAGTTGAACATAGAAGTAGCTGCTCGGGTCCTTGGCAATCTAAAACATTTGTGTAAACTGGGGAGACGGAGGCTGGCTATGCTTTGGTCGTCTAGATTTAAGGCTATTGGTTGGAGTTCTCACTGAACACTGCCTCTCGATGGTCCATCAAGAAAGGATGCGCCGGGCAGGGGACGGAGTCTGCCGTTTGTGCCTGAAAGAGAATGTTGGCTGGGATGTTCCGGGGTGGGGGGGATTTGTAACCCCAGGAAGAATCTCGCGGCTTGATGTGGATGCCGTACTGTGGTTTGTCAGGAGTTTAGCTATAGGGCTGATGTAGATGAGCCGGGAATCACAAAAATCCTATGGGTCGACGTGAAAGGTACTTAATGGCCTCGGTCCCCAGGAAACACAAAAAAAATAGTAGTTGTATAGTGAAATTAATTTAAAGAAAGAGTGTGAATTTCTAGTTTGTCTTATTGTGCGGCGTTTAGGTGTGGTTTGAAAGATGTGTGAATGCCTTTCATCTCTTACATTTCTTTGCAAGTTTTTTATGTCTCATGTTGTTCTTTTTTTTGTTCTTTCAATTTCATTGTGTTCTCACTAATTATTTTGACACTTTTAAGATAATTAATTTTATTATAACAATGTCATTTAACAGTTTTGTATATGAATTTAAATCTATAGAATTTTTTTAAGAACAAAAACTTTTTTTTTATTCTATAATGAATTTTTAAATTCCTTTGATCCCTTTTCTTTTCAAAAAATTATTGTATCTCATAATTTGTATATTATGGAGGTGTTATTTAATTTTATTTTTTTCTTTACTACATTAAAAATCGCCTACAGTTTTCAATATCTCAATAGAATTTTCATTATGAATAATTAATCATTTTTTATTATTTAGAAATGTTAAAAAACAAAGTGGAGTTTCTAAACTAATTTTTAAAAATAATTTTTTTTTTCTTTAAGAATTTCGGTTTATTGTAAGAAGTTTGTAAAAATTGTTTAATAATATGAAAAGAAAAAACGACAAAACCGAAATTTTTGGTTCTCCCGATCAATGACATTAAGCAATTTCAGAATTGTTAATGAATGTATGCATGTGAATGTGGTCTGTTGTGTATAACGTATTTGTTATTTCATTTATAACGCAAAAAATGTTTGTTTTATGAATGAAAAGTACAAGTAATTCTAATTTTAGTGCGATAGAAGCTTTTAATTGCTTTTTGGTCTTTAGAATTTGAATTTTTGAATTTTACTCAAATTGTCGTACTTAGTTATATTAGTTTACAAAAAATTTTGAATATTTTTGTTAAAATTTCATTACTGCTTTATCTCATTTCACAATAGTTTAATTAAGAGCCCTGGAAGTCATACAGAAAATAGAAGATATTTTCGAAATTAGTGTTGTAAATTTTTCATATTATTGCTTAATAGTTTAAATTATTAGCTTATATCCTAAAGCAGTCATATGTTGAGTCTACCCTCCGCCAGTGAAATTCGGCGAAAGTGAGTACTTTATATGGCTTAGTCCCGTAAGGAAATTTTCGCTGAAGATAGATTTAATAGTGAAATAGATATTGAAATATATGAAGAATAAAATTTTCATTTTAGTTTACAAAGTATTCCGATCTGTGCAATCTTGCCTACGAGTGCTATTTAATAGTTTGCAGCCCCTGTCTGATATCTAAATCAAAATATTTATTAACAACTAATTATTAATTTTTTTGTTTTATCTAAAATTTTCTAATTCTCAATTTATTTTCTTATATTGAAGACATCATAATATAGAATATTAAAAAAAAAAAATTAAGTATTCAAATTTTTTTCCAAAACATGAAATGGTCTTCAATTAATTTTTGATGTTATCTAGCGCTATAAATAACGCTCTAGAATAAATTAATGAATGCTTTAATAAGCAAAAACACCGAAAAAACTAAATAACCCTGGAAAGTTCAAAAACAAAAATCACTTCCGCTGTTTACATTCTCGTACATACCGCACTATACAGTGAAAGCTATTAAAACTTCTGTTTGCCTTTAGTGAACAAAAAACAAACGTTTGATTTTTATGCAAATTTTAAAGTAAACGGGAAAAAAGAGGTTAATAAACCTCAGTAATAAATTGACTAATATTTTAAATATTAAAAATTAAATTTTTTTTTTTCATCTTCATTTATTATAATTAGTATAAGAAAAATTATATAGAAAATTAACTTATCACTTAAATTAAAAATATTGAAAAAATTCAAAAGGGTGTATACGAATAAAATTATTTAATTTTTAAGTGTAAATTTTAAAAATAAAAAAAAATGAATATTTTTAACTCACCTCTGGCACAGTGACTTCATATGGTGTATTAACGAATTGTGGTGCATTATCATTTATGTCAGATACTCGAACTATTATTGGTATATTACGTTTCTTTTTCGATGATCTAATGGTACATGACACCTATAACATGAACAACAGAAGAAAAAAAAAATGAAGAAATGACAAATTAATATATTTTTAAATTATGATAAATGTTATATGTATGGTGTGTATGGTGTGTTTTTAGAGAAAAGATAAATTCGTGTTAATTATATGCATTTTTTTCTTCTTGTTGTGTTTAAAATTAAAAATATTTTAACATTGACATAAGATTAACAAGTGATTAAAAGTTAATTATAGTTAAGTAAAAATTTTTTGCCGATAATTTATTAATAATTTTTTTTTTTGTTTTTTGGTATTAATATGATAATTTTGTAACTCATAGGTTTTTGAAAATAAGATGTGCTTCTCTTTAATGATTTTTCATTAATTATTTTAGTTAATTATGTTGGAAGTAATTTTCAATTTGTTTATAATATTGTTGACTTAATTAATACGAAGTTTAATATGCAGTAAAGTGAATATATGAAATGTGCTTAAATAGTGATGCTATATGCAATACTGAAGGCTGTAGAATATATCAATGAAAATTTTATAAACAAAAAAGTGGTCGGTCGTGTGCTCTGATTATCTGACTGCGTTCAAATCTATTTAGTAGTCTTATTCTTTCGCATCCCGCGACACAAGAAACAATTTATGTGTCTAAGAATAATTTTTCATTTTTGTGGGTGCCATCATATACAAATATAAAGGGAAATGATGATGATGAGCTAAAAATTCTATAAATTCACTAATAGTAGAAAATTATGAACAAGTTTATACAGATTTGAAAAGATTGGTGGCACAAAAATTTAAAGGTATTTTTAGTCAAGAATGGAGACAATCAAATTAAACTAGTAAATTGAAAGAAATTACAGATAATATACCGGTTTGGAATTATTTGAAAAATTTGGAAAAGAAAAGATTCTATTATAATAACCAGGTTAAGGCAGGGATATTTTCTGCCATGTTTCATTGCACGACATTCTTAATATAAGTTGTTTTTTTTTTGTTTTTTCTTATTCTGTTTCGTTTTCGTTACTCTGCTGATGCAGTATAAAATTTCAGTGCTTTTGCAATTATTAATTCCAGTCAAGACTATGGAACTTCACTTAAGCATTCTCTTTCCAGATTTTATATATAGAAAAAAGATAGCTATATAAATTGACCAAATTGTTTGCATATAGTTTAGATATAACAGATACGTTTTATTACTACATATTCAAAAACCATTACAGTAAGAGCTGTAATCGAATACGTTCTGTTGCATAAACAATCATAAAATTTAGCTAAATTTTCAAAGTAATATGAAAAGTCTCACAATTAGTTCAATTGAAAATGAAGTCATAAAATCTATCTATATTTTATATGTCGCAAATCAGCTTTGTATATCATACTAAATAATAAACATGTATTCAATATGGAGGCAGAAATATTTCTAATATGTTTTCTGGCTACCAAAATAATGACGAGTGTTTTCAGTGTACGAGAATTACAATTAACTAAAATCGTATGTTATAATAAAAATATATAAAAATAAAATTCTCATGAAATCAAATTTAGTCATGTTTAGTCACCTATAGTTAGATCATATTAAACAAACAAACCGTTAATCAGGTAATAATTGTATTCTAATCCCTTTAAGAAATAATATGGGAACGAGAAATATTACCGAATATTCGAATTTACTGAAGATATTGTTTATTTTTAAGAATATTTCATCATAGTGGCATTGATCTAGAATTCAATTTTATATATAAATATGTACATAGTAATTTGATTTGCTTGAATTTGATGCTCTCAATAGCAATATCTTTAAAGAGCAATATCTTTTGTATTTCATACAAAATTGGTTTGAATCTTTCAAATCGCTTCCTTCAATAAAAAAGGAAATTTACGAAAATTAAATTCAATTTTATTGAGTTACTAATTCCTATTCCACGTTAGCAATTTGTAAGTCTCTTTCATTTCATTCTTATTGAAAATTTAACACAAGTTTTAAATGTAATTAATTTAAAAGAAATGAAAAAAAAAAAATTATTTTCAATTTAAATTTTAATCCAATTGAATTATTTTCAATTATTAAACTACATTACACCGCACGTTTATATTACATTTACCTTATTTGTTTTAAATACACTCAAATAGGTTATAAAATATCAAATTAATAAAGTTTATTATTAGATTTTATTTAATTTATGTTTATTAGTGTAATGGTTTACCAGAAGTAAATTAAACATAGTAAATTAAATTTTATTGCAATCAACAAAAAAAAAAATAATTTACATAAATTTTTAATGGTATTAAAAGTTTTATACTTTTATAATAACATAAATTATATGACTTTATTATAAAATATTTAACTATATGGTAGGTTTATTTCTGTTAATTAAATTTTTCAACATATTCGTGTAAAAATTAAATAAATTCTTAAATATGATTTAATTTTATTGGTGGATTACTTTAAAATAAGTTTCTCTATATTTGTTTGTTCTCTAACTTTATGTAATTAAAGTTCTTAAAATTCGAATATTAATTGAAATTTAATGAAATATAAGAATAAGAAGTTTTTAAGATATTTCTAATTTAATACAGCTTGCAGTTTTGTTCTTCATACAACCGCAGAGCAGATTTAAGACAGTGACGTACCGCTTCCTAGGTAGATGCGCTATAAACTGAACTACAGAGGTATAAAAAAATTATTGGAAAATTATTCTTCATATTGCTTTATACTGTACACCACATATTTACTAAGTGTTGTTTACATTGAGATGAAGTTTGTATGAGTCAATATTGTACTAATGGTATTCGATTATCAATGCAATTGTGACTAAAGTTCCTATAAAATTTTATCAAGGATTTGTTCTAAATATTTGATCTTCTACAAAAAAATTGCATATAATTTCTTGATATAATTTTTTTAACATTTAATAATGTTAGTCTAAAACAAATGTATAAAACAATTAACAAAGAAACAAAAGATTTAAGAAAGAAACTTGGTTTTTCTTCAATTTTTAATTGCTCACATTCCATATTATCTTTATTATTTCTTTAATTTTGAAGTTCGAAATTCAACTAAATTTATTGAATTGCCCAAGGAGTAACAAAATTTATGAAATCGAACAAAGAAAAGTAATAGATATTGTTCGGAGGATCAAATAACCTTTTATTCGCTATTCATATTTTCATTCACTTCGAAATTATACTTTTAAATTGAATTTTAATTGAAGTATGTGGTAGAGTTGGAATATTGCGGGAGCCAGACCAAAAAATTGTTTCGATGTCATCAAGTTTATCGGAATTTTTAAAAATCCTGCCTAGGTTTAGATTTTGGAAACAAGCTTTTCAAGAGAAGCTTATATTTACACATATTAAAAATGCAATCATAATTAATACATTTTAAAATATGATGTACATAAACGGGACCTATTCGACTCGGTTTAAAAGTTTCGTTTAAGATTTAAATAATTTTTTATAAACTTAATACGTTAATAAAAAGAAAATATTTCAGAAGGTACAATAAGAACTTTACGCATTAATTTTGTTGTTAATTATTCAAAAAAAAAAATGTTTCTTCCACCACAGCCTTCTGCAATATTTTTAATTTCATATGCGTACTATTTATTCACAGTTAAAAAATATTTAAATATTTTTTTATTTACACTATATTATACAAATGAATGAATGCCTTACCTGAAATACAATATGACTTAAATTTTCTTCATCACGATCCAATGGTTTTAATAATTTTAATTGTTTTCCATTTAACATAAAACTCGGATTACCTTTTGGAAATATTAATTCTAATAAAATTTCTGTTTCTGGATCACCATATATTGGTAAATCTCGTGGTGTTGTTTCTTGGCCAATATCTAAAATTAAACATGAAAAAATTTTTTTTTTTATAAAAATAGGTGAAATAGAAAAACATTTTTTTTTTTTGTGTTTACGTATTAATTTATTTATAATATTTATAAATATATATATATACATAATATATAAATATGGAATATTATGCTGAAATAAGAAATTATTTAATAAAAATCGAATAAATAAATATCAAATTGAATTAATTGATTAGCTAAAGAGAACAAAAAAAAAAAACACAACACAAACTGGTGAACTAGATACAAAAAAAAAAATTTTTTAATAAAAAAATTATCTAAAACTTGAAATCAGTTGCAGTTATTTGAATTTTTTTTTTTTTTAAATTTAATATGCAATATAATTTTATATAAATAAAAAAATAAATAAATAGATTTCATAAGAGTTTTTTTGGTTCGCTAAACGGGCTACACTATACCAATAGCAGCCTAGTGACATAAGAAATAGGTATGTAGTTATATACAGCAGCCAATATAGCTGCAACATTAACAGTAATTTTAACCACATTTAAGGGGAATAACAGAGAGATGAAGAAAGAAAAAAAAAAAGAACACCATGTTATTGACGACTTTATTTTTTAAAATTCGATTTTTTTGTTTTCTTTCTTGTGTCGTTTATTCATGAATTTTTAATAAAAATGGCAAGATAATATGCACTACAGGTAATCATTATTATATAAAAATACAGGTGAACTAACCGTTTGTTAAATAAAATGGTCATTTTTTTTTTTGCTTTTCTATACAGCTACTCTTTATAGTCAGTCGTTTTGGAAAATTGAAATACTAAAAATTTTTTTGTAAATTTTTCATTCAGTTTTGTTCAAGTAATTTTTTGGTTTTTGTTCTGTTTTTCAAAGTTATACCTACATATATATATATGTATTTTATTTGGTTTATTTAATTTTTTCTAAAATTTCAAAAAAAAAAAAATTAATTTAAAATTTATTTTTATGTCAATGAAAATCGAATTCAATAGTATTAATATTATATAGATAACAAAATAAAAATATAATTTCGAATTTTTGTTATACGAGTATAGGAGATATTTTAATTCTATGCCTCTGTATATCAGTTTGTATATAATGTGGCTAGAAAAATTAAGAGACAAAATAACCGCCATATATAGCAAAATGTACATATATCTATATTATATAAATAAATAAATAAATAAATGATGTAGTTCGAATAATATTTTATGAAAAATTTTAGTTGAAATTACGAAATTTTTATTTGTAAAATTTATGAACAGAACAAGATTTTACTGATTTTCTTAATTTACTATATAATAATTTTCAAATATAATAATATTGCAAAGTTTTGAATAAAATTTTAAGTGTTCTTAGATTTTTGTCTGTCTTAAAGCTGAATCAATTCAGGTGTTCTTATTTGTCTGTCTGACAAATAAAATTTATTCTATTTCTGTATACAATATTAGAGCAAATTTTCAAATATTTTTTTTTCAATATTTTTTACAAATATTGCAATTATTGTATTAAAAATTAGAAAATTGCTAAGTCAATGTTACAATCGAGAGGGGCGTAATGTAGTTCAACACATAGTTAATAATATTCTGACCATACGCAATGGAATTGAAGATCACATCGAATAATGTTAATAAATTAAGTGACATAATCGAGAAAGAATACAAGTTGCAAAGAGTATTCAAAATTACTCCAGAATAATTTTATGTAGAAAAGATGCATTAGAGCTTCTCTAGACTAGTTTTGAAAATGGGAAATATTGATAGTTCTGGAAATCTAAAAGTTATTCGGTCATGAATATCATTAATGCAAAGTATCAAGGCCCAAAAATTCATAGTTCGTGCGTGCAAGGAAATCATGTTGTTAGATTAAAATAAATAGAAGTTATAAAATACTACAGTCAATAATATTTAATTATAATTCACAAGATATTGAGAAAAATCTACAGCCCAGAGAGAAATGGTATCAAATGGGGCTCATTCAACTTATTTGATAATTTATAACAAGTAGACGATATTGTATACCTATTGTCTACTGTAATTTAAAGACTGCACTTAACAGTCTATGTAGATATACAGTAGAGGAGGATGTTTGAATAAATCAGCTTCCAAAATTGAAAACATACACAAAAGACGTCGAAAAATTCGTTTAAAGTGCAAGAAAGATGGTTGTTAGACACAAATATAGTATAAAACGCATATAGATGAGTTTTTCAATTATTTATGTCATTATTTAAATAGTGGTGCCATATCTAAAATTTAAGATAGGAAAATATCTTAGAAGAAGAAGTAGTAGAGTAACTTAATAGCACAATAACTCAAACCTTCTCACTACCGTCTTCGGTTTCGATTAAACTCTATAAATGTCTTTTCTTAAATATGACATAAGATTTTAAATGACATTAAGAAAATGTGCTTTTTACAAAAACTGCAAATAAGTATTTCGTTGAAATTTTTAGGTTAATTTTTTTGTTTTTGTACAATTTTTTGAATTGAATTCAATTTTATTAGCGTTCATTTTGTTAGCAGGTTGTTATGTTAATAAGGCGAAAATAAACGTTTTTATTGTTTTTTTTTTTTCAAATTTAATTGCGACGAACAAAGGAAAAATAAAAATAAAATATTGAATTTTATAATATTGGTTTAAAAAAAAATGTGTTCAAAATTGTCAAACAACACAATAAACATGATTATGAATTATTGTAGTAGAGCAACAGTTTGGAAATTCGTTAACAATACAAAAAAAAAAAAATAAAGAAAAATCTAGTCTAAAATAAATTTTTTATAAAATTGTGAAAAGTTGATTTTCTTTTATTCGAATTCCACATTTTCGAATTTAAAAACAAATTCGAAATTTTGTTTCCGCAATAATTTTTACTCATTCATTGAGAAAATAACTTGATTTTTTTGTTTTTTTATTTGCGATGTCAACACTGGGTATAAAATTTCAATTCTTTTCAAAAATTATTTTTTCAAATTCTCAATATAGTAAAATAGATTTATTAATTACATAATCTAAGAAAATTAATTTTAAATAAGTAATAAAATTTAAAAAATTTAAAAAATTGAAAAACTGTCATAGTTGAAATCAATATTATTTTCTTTATACTCGTAAAAGTCATCTGTTTGACATTTTGACATATGTAAAGTAATTTAACAGAATTATTGAAGTATGTATTCAAAAATGACAAGTAGTAAAAGTAATTTTTGGTTAAATTATTAATTTTATGTTGATGGTTTAGAATTGTAGATTAAAAAGTTTGAATGACAATAGTTTTAAGACTGTTCAAATATAATGTTTGTGCATATTATTTGCTTGTTGTTAAAGACCTCCCAATGTTAAATTATGTCTGGTTGTATCTGAGCTTTGCAGTAGTTAAATTATGATTTGCTTCAAATTTTTAAGAAAATTTTGTTTAAACTAATGGACGTTTGGTAATTACTGCAACTTGTCCTAATCACTATTACTATTACTGATAGTGATAGTTATCGTAAAACGTTATTAGTATTATTATTGTAAACACAAACCAATTCATACGATAGATTCGACTCCATAATATGAGTAATAGTTTTTAAAAACAAATTTAGTTTGATTAATCATATGATTTGTTGATCAAAATAAGCCCTTAATAAATTGATATCTAAATATTCCCGTGTACAAAGTTTTATACATACAGTGAGGCATAATATTTACTGCCAACTTTAGGCCTGAGATCAAACATATCTTAGGAAAAAATTTTTTTAGAACAACAATAAAATATAAAAATTTTATTGAAAGAACAATAAAACGATACGGGCGGTAATATGTGGTGGTTATCCCAAATTATTTTTTAGTAATTTATAATTGTTATTTTTTGTGCTACAATCCCCCTTGAAACTTTAAAAATACTCTGCTGGTACCACATATAATATGATACTTGAAAATTCCTTACTTTTTTCTTATAAATAAAACTTAGATCTATTAATAAATTTATTTTGCCCACTTGTTATTAAATAATTGCTATTTTGAAAATCAGAACAACCTGCGATTTATTTAATTCTCAGAAAATTTTTTGTTTTCTTTCTATTTTTCTTTTTTATATATATTTTTGCAAAAATAGAATTCTATATAAAGTTGATAATTGAAAAAATAACTTAAAAATTTAATTTACTTTTTATGTTCTCTACATGCTCAAAGGATAGTAGAACCTACAAGAAACCTACAAAAAAAAAGAGGGACTAAAAAGAAATCCAAACAAATTAGGAGAGATCTTTATCAAAATCCTTGGAATATATCAATACACAAAACTGGTATACATGCATGCAAACATAATATAAATCTCTTTATTTTATTCGTATATATTATTGAACTATTTAGATCGAACGGCATTTTCTTTGTAAAATCTTAATGAACCAACTCCTTTAATAGCTACCTGAATTGCTATAACGCTAAAAGAAAACAAAAAAGCGAACTAAAGACCAGTCGATATTTTGATAGCAAAAAACCAAAAAAGAAGAAAAAAATTATTTCAAAGAAACAAAAAACGATCCACGTATTTTCGTTATCGCTTAATTGACAAAAAATAAACACTCAAAATTTAAGGAAATAATAATGAAAAAATTGAATGCAAAAATAAATAAAGCGAGGATGAATTTCAATTAGTCTAGTACCACAATAGGATCATTTGAATTGAAGAATATTTGTAAATTTGTTTATAGATCCAAGGTATCAAAATTTACAGGTGGCTTTTTGGTTACGAATAAATAATTTTCGAAACCGTGTGGTACATTCAGTCGATTATAATTTAGTAATGTTTGACATACACCTTACTAGTGAGGGCTACTTGTGGGTTTAAATTAATAATTTTCGAAACTGAGTGGTACAGTGACTCGAGAATAACCATAACAAAGTGATATTGATTTTACTAGTTTTATAATTTCCAGTTTCGAATGCTTTCTCTCTCCATTTGTGAATATAAGAATCAGATCTGGAAATTCTTCTAAAGTAGTCAAGGTAGTGTTCTTCTTT